AATAGATACCGTTTTATATAGAAAAGCACGTGTATGGTAACACACAATGTACTTGAATCTGTTTGAAATCCTAACATATTGCTGTTTTATTATTATTATTATTACATGTATGACTGATGAATATTTATGTGTTTTCAATACAGTTATACATGAATATTCAAATTTTGATCACTATCAAAAAATTAAGATTTTTTTATTTATTTAAAGCAAGAAAGCTGGTATTACCGGATGATATGGTAATTAACTGTTGCAAATGACATGACATCCATCAATTATCTTTATTTTGTAACATTTTGTTCTTCTAAAATTGCAAACTGCCTCTTTTGTAATGTTAACAATATAAATAATTCAGTGCATAAAACCGATTAAATCTGTAATTCTATCAAAATAATTAGCCATTTACCGAAGAAAAAATGATAATGTGCTAAACAGGGAACTGTTTTCATGACAGCCATACATAAATGTATTTGCAATATATAGCCTAGGGGAATATGGAAAGTTGTAAAATGATTTGTTAAGATGAATTAAAAATGGTGAACAATCACCAAATCCATCCCCACCCAGACAAATCCATCCACCATATCAACCAAGACGTTACGACTTACCATATCCACCCACACATAACCACTCACATCATCTACCCAGATATAACCACTCACCATATCCACCCAGACATAACCACTCACCATATCCAACCACACATAACCACTCACCATATCTACCCCCATACATAACCACTCACCACATCCACCCAGACATAACCACTCACCATATCCACCAAGACATTACCACTCACCATATCTACCCCCACACATAACTACTCAACATATCCACCCAGATATAACCACTCACCATATCCACCAAGACATTCCCACTCACCATATCCACCCAGACATTCCCACTCACCATATCCACCCAGACATAACCACTCACCATATCTACCCCCACACATATCCACTCACCATATCTACCCCCACACATAACTACTCACCATATCCACCCAGATATAACCACTCACCATATCCACCCAGACATTCCCACTCACCATATCCACCCACACATAACCACTCACCACATCCACCCAGACATAACCAGTCACCATATCTACCCCCACACATAACCACTCACCATATCCACCAAGACATTCCCACTCACCATATCCACCCAGACATAACCACTCACCACATCCGCCCAGACATAACCAGTCACCATATCTCCCCCCACACATACCCACTCACCATATCCACCCAGACATAACCACTCACCATATCTAATTGGTTACCACTCACCATATCCACCCGGACATAACTACTCACCATATCCACCAAGACATAACCACTCACTATATCCACCAAGACATTCCCACTCACCATATCCACCCAGACATAACCAATCACCATATCTACCCCCGCACATAACCACTCACCATATCCACCAACACATAACCACTCTCCATATCCACCCTGACATACTCACTAATCATTTCCACCATGACCTCACCATCACCGTGCTTCTATTTAAGGACACTATGTATAGCTTGTCTGAGGGGTCATTTAACACACAATTTAATTTTAATCTACTTCCTACGTTAGAATGAATCTGACATCCGACTCTGCAGCTTCTGACTGTGTAAATATCATACATATTCCTACACTTGAAATATCCTGCATTATCTGCACTCAAAATCGACCACCTTTTGCTTAAATCGGGTAGTTTGCAAGTAAAAATAAACACAAATAAATCATTCATTGTCTTATTGAAATATAATGATTGCTTGTTCATGAGAAGACAAAAAGGGGTATGGGAAAATTTCTCAACCCCGTAAACCACCCTCCGTTAACAGAGAGTGAAGTTGTAAAAAAGCAACAATATCTTCCACTACACGCCTCTGAACAACCAGGGTCATTTGAAGACGGTGTTCACAGATGACGTGGGTCACTCATTGGTCGCTTTGTAGTGCTGTCTCACTGAAATGTCGTAGCTTCGATATGGCAGCAAAACATTACAGTCGGTCCCGTTTTTTCTGATAATGGGCTGACCCGAAATGACTGAGATTAACCCTTCGTAAAAAAAGACTTGGTGGGAGAGGAAATAATAGGTACAGGTCCTAAGGGTTTGTGTGGAGAAGAAGATCAATTTTGTTATCTCCAATATTGCTTATGTATGAGACATAAACAATACCTCTGGTTCTACATGGGGTTCCACATAGGTCGCCTCATATGACAAATAGGATACAGCGCTTTAGTCTCTACCCAAACTTGTATAGCTGCTGTCATAGCGTTACAGCAGAATCCCTTCAAGACCATCGAAGATGTTCAGTGAAACCTGAAAAAATCTAAAAACTGAAAATAATGTAGAGCAAATGGACAAGAAAAAATATCCTGCCTAAGACTCTCAGCATTATTCCATTTGTTTGTATTTCCTATAAATCAGGCCTATCCGAATAGTAACTACACTGTAAAGTTGATGAAACAACCATGTGTCTTAGGTGCAAAAACATATAATATTATGTGTTGGTTCTCTTACATGCATAACCATAATACAATTGTTGTAGTCTGGTTCTTGTGTAAAAGAGAGAGAGAGAGAGAGAGAGAGAGAGAGAGAGAGAGAGAGAGAGAGAGAGAGAGAGAGAGATATCCAATGTTGTACCCTGTGAACATCGTGTATTGTAATTGCGTGTGAGATGGAGTGTATGTTTGTGTCATGTTAATGTATTGTAATTGAAAAAAAAATGCTTGAAAAATAACAAAATTAATAACAAAAAATTGAAGTCTGATTCACAAGAGAGAGGAAAAGAAATTAATGTCAAATATTGTAGTTTGTGTTTCATTTACAACAAAACGAAATTATACACCAATTAATTTATTTTGTATACATATCCGTTAAGATACATGTATGTTGTATGTTATGTACAACAGAATCCTATTTCTTACTATGGTTTTATAACAACATATATGTACAACAAAAAGCGATAATATTTGCTTTAGTTAATAAATTATTTGTTGTAGTTTTTGTACCCTTTCCAACAGAAATATGAAATTGTTATGTGTATACGAACAACAGAAAGTTTATAACTAGTTTGTATGTCCTGTAAAAAAAAAAAGGAAACTTGATATTGATTGTAATTGTTTTAAACCACGTACAACTTTTACAATTGATTGATGTAGTTTCCATAGCATATGCAACATAAGGTTAAATTATTAGCTGTAGTTTGTGTACCATTTCCAACAGGAAGTTTATAACTGTAGTTCGTATGTCCTGTAACAAAATAAAGTTTATATTAATTGTTGTTGATTTTAATCCTTTCACCCCTATGTTACTTCAGTAAACATTATCACACATTAATCAGGGTGAGTCAATTATGGTCTACAGTGGTGAAATTTTCAATTCAATTCAACTTTATTCTCTTTCACGATACAATGTATAGAGAAACATATTTACAATATAATATATAGTACTAATTGTATTGTTTGTAGTCGGTAGTACACAGTACTGTTTCATAAAATAAATGCACATTTGTATCAAGGAGGACAAATATTGTTATTAAATTATTCTGATATAAAATACAAAGTTTCTTCAGTGTTTTTGTATTAGTGGTATTCATAAATTCATAGAAATTATTTACATTTAGTGAAAGAGTTAAACCACGTTCGAGACCGAACGTTTAAAATGAATTGTTGTAGTTTCTATAGCATGTGCAACAGACAGATTGTTTCTGTTAATTGTTGTATTTTCAAACTATTGTTTCACATAACGAGATAGGATTTTATGACAAATTAACGATTGAAAACGTGAGAATAGTACTAAAACTCGATATGACTAGCCCTAAGTCGTTACAGGTCCTAGTTATGTATGATCGTTCAAATAACTGGGCCGTTTCATCCGAAAAATTACACACAATAAAAGCAATAAACATTTACACTTAATTGTTTTTCAACGCACATATTTCAACTTCTACTTTTGACAGTACTTGTTTGGATGAGCACAGCACATATTTTTTTAATATCTGTTATATTGTTCTCACGAAAGAAAAATAATTATTTTGTTCGTTTCAATAAAAGAAATAGTTTCAGTAATTACAGACAGTGTATTGTTTAAACAGGGCAACGAGAAAGGCAGATATAATCGAATTTGCCATGAATAAGAAGAAACAAGACAGATCTGTTTGATAACATTTTTTTTAATTTTTTTCGATCCTCGTTTTGTCAAAGAGAGTTTCGTTGGGTCGTCTCTATAACAGGCATAATGTCACTCCTATTAAAATGCAGCATTGTGCGGAAGCCATAAAAATTCAATTTTACCTGATATATCATCTGTAATAACATTAGTTCTATTCGAAAACTTTTTAAGTTCAACAGTGGGAAACAATTATGCATTGTATCACTAAATTACTCGACATCAGCTCCAACCAAAGGCCATCGTATGCGTTCCGGTAAGAGATTATTCAAGCAAGTTGTCAGCAACACTGACGTTGTCTTTAAGACTAGATTGTCTCTACGTCAACGTTGCCTTCTGTCCGTCTTTTCAGAAAAAAATCTTTTTACAATTTCTTAATGTGATTTCTCAAACCTGATAAGAACGTGTGCTCTCTTGTGCCGTACCTCGTCGCCTCCATTTTCTCTCTCTCTCTCTCTCTCTCTCTCTCTCTCTCTATTTGATGTTGTTTAGTATAGAGCGACCGCCATCTTGTTTGTTGGTATGATATTATAGATATGCAAATTTCCCCGACGGGGAATCTTGTCATGCTTCATAAAGTTTACGGCATCTCTGTTGTATGTTGGGAAAGTGTTGGGAAATTTGTCACTGCCGCTGGCAATGAAAGCGAAAGTCTACACCTTCGTATTTGCTTATAATCTTAGGGGCGTGTCCATGTTACCATTGAAGTTTACCGTGCTGCTTTCCCATTGGCCATCGCGACACATCAATCTAACATGGCGGACAAAAGCGAAAGGAGAATTTTGACAAGCCTAAGGATTATCCTTTATTTGGATGTTGGGGTATTTTTTTAGCTAATGGATAGGGCCGTGATGATATTATTAAATGACAATAAAAGCGGTGGTATCGCTGTTTCTCGGCATTGGTTGAAAAGACGGATCGTTACCTTCGACACGCCATTCTTGTCTTAACACGGACGAAGGTGTTGATTCTGATACCTACTATAACGGGTGTGCACGGACTTAAAGGAGTACCCGACAGACATACGACAAATAGAGATACGCCACTTGCTCAACAGTTACACACCCAGTGCAACAAATCCGGTGAACAGTTTGTGTTATTCTTGCTTCGTTAGCGTTCAAAAAGTTCCAACACTGGAGACAATTCATTGTGGATTTCTTGTTTGTTCTTTAAAGATTTTCTTGGAAGACTATATAGCTTTTGGACTTTTAAATTGCAATCATGCATCATCTTCCATACTACTACACAACAGAGCAGATTAAGTCGTACCAGAACAGTATGCTGGCGGCAGCTGCTGCGTCAGGGAACCAGTCCCTCTTCACCATCGAGAGTATTTTGGCCCCTCGGCCCCTCCTTGCTCATAGACCGTCCCCTTACTTCCCCTACCCAGGTCTAACTCACTCGGCCCAGGACCTATTTGGTAAGTATTTTTTATTCATCAGTACCATAACGTCCGGTGTATGTCTACTCAAACACATCATTTTATCTTCTCTTTTAATATTTACAAGACATAGGTATTCTTTTATTTTCAATTATACAACTTTAACATAAATATTCTTTTTCAAATATTCTGTATTGAGATGTTTCGTTAAAAATTGATGAAATTAGAAGATATTATTTTGATAATTCAAAGCATCAATGTGCTATACATTCTCAGGTGGATGATTATGGTGATAAATGTTTAAATTTTACGTCGGGTTTTAAAACGTAATGATATCAATATTTTATGAAAATTCAAATAAAAGCCGTAAATATGATTTTATTTCATGCGTTTTGAAACTGATAAGATTCCTATTAAAGTTTTCATCAGCTACCACATGTTTCGGAATTAAAAATAGAAAACGCTGAAGGTGGGAAAAAAGTAGAAATGTTCATAGAAGTTTACTAAGTACTACAACATGTAAAGGACAAATTTCAAGAAACAATTATATAAAGAATGATTAATGAAAATTAATAAATTACTATAAATTACAAATAAACTATTATGACTGTATGATTGTTAGAAATATTGATAAAACAAATTAGAAAATGTTTAAAAGAAACCATCAAATAATATTTTAATAACACAATATCAAACTACATAAGGCCTACATGAATTTCATTTAAAAGTATTTCGATTCCGAAGGTTGATTTTTCTCCTACACGTAATTGCATGCATGTCTATGGAAAGTTCATCATGGCGGTCTAATAGTATTCTCCGTGGTTTTTACGTATTGTTTTACTGGAATACATATAAATTCGTTTTAGCCGTATTAAGTTTCTGTCTTAAGACGGTATGATCGGGGTTAGAGGAATAACGGAGAATCATATATCGAGAAATTAATGGGTTTTGCGAGCCAATATTTCCTCCAATTCCACTTGTTTTTTCTACGGATTCTTTAGCCTTTTTAGCCAGTTCTAGTCGAGCTTCGTAGCGTTCCGTTTTTCTTATTACCTTTAATTTAAGATTCCTTTGAAATGACAGAGATTTGTGCTCCGTTCTAATGTCTGGATTCTATCATATAAAAATCGTCAGTGTTACGAGATTTTTGTGATTACACTCGTAACTAAAAAAAATGTAATTATAAGGGGGAGAGGGAGGTGGGGGGGGGCTAAATATTTCGCTTTCGATGATTTTTTTCAAAGAAATTAATATAGTTTTATCCCAATATAAAAATATGTGGCACAGGCAAAAATTTCCGCTACAGATCAAGATTACACTGGCTTGGGAAAAAGATGTAGATAGGTGTGAGTGTGTATGTAAGGGGGGAGGCGTTCTATCAAAGGCTCACACGCCCGCTTTTGTCAACACGATACCCATCTTGTTGCCTTAAGTATCTAATTTACAAATTAGATTAACAAGACGAACAATCACAAAATGACCTTAGGAAGCTGCTTTTGTGTTAGAGTGAGTCTTGCGACGGGTGGACAGATGACTCGATGAATTGAACTGACAGGTGAGCTACACAGGTAGACACACGACGTATTGTGACGTCAGTAGTTCCTAACAATATGTCTTATCACCTGAACATCCACTATCTTCCCATCTCTCGAGCCCCGCCGCCATCGTCTTCTATTAAATACGGAAAATGTGTAAATGTTTTCTTAGGCGAATGATTTGAAATAAGACCAAGTAAAAGCGGGGGAATTTTATACACACGACTGTTACCCGATATGTTACGAAAGGGGTTTAAACTACAACAACTTTTAGTAAATTAGATTGTATAAATCATCTTGGATTTTTGAATTTCAGACAAAAAAGAAAAACCAGTCTCCGCATTTTCTGATAATGTTTGGTTGGTAGGGATCTTTAAAAAATAAAGAATGAAAATAAACTTTGCATTAAATTTAAAAGAAACGTTTTATGCTGTGCAGCTACGTCGTAATACTGAGTGCATTAAAATTCACAGAATTGTAAACAATCTATATTATAACAATTTCAGTAATTTTAATTCATTAAGTGCTTTAAATTACAAACTGCAATGAAAAGTTACTTTTAAAACATTACGAAATTATATTTTGAAATATACATTTCAGGAACTATCAAAATTTTGGAAATGCGTTAATCAAGTACGGTTCCATTAACACTTACAAATTTGAACATTCTTTTCATAGAATATGCTAAACAATTATTGATTCAAATGTGTATGGCTAATGAACTACTTTTTCGGTTTAAAATACTGAAAAAAACCGATAATTAAATGAGATGAAACTGTGTTGTGTCTAGTATACCGGGATAGATGTCAAAGAATACTTACTACGTTCTATAAAACAAAATCCTGCTATAAAACGCACCCTCAAAGTTTCACCAAATTGTTACTGACAATGAAAAGCAAAGTAGGTAATTTAAACACTTTTCTTAATATATCTAAAATATCAATGAATTTAAAAGATTTTTGTTATCAGAAAGCGTTGTTTTTATATTTGAATGAGCGAAAATTTATCAAATACTCAGTTCAGCTGTTATTTAAATGTACATGTATGTTTATCAACTGTATATGTCTATGAAATACATAAGTATTTGTGAAGCCTCATGAGCAGATACAAACGACTTACTTCACACTCAACATCTTATTATTTTTTTAATAAATATACTGCCAAAATAAAGGTTTGGCAGTGAAAAACATATTTCAAACTATTCGTTGATAAAAGTATCGGATAAGTTTTAATATTTCTTATTCCTTAGAGTCTGTAGTTTAATGTTTGAACAAGTACACGCGAACGTGTAAATATATGCATAATGCAAACCTTGTAATATATTTACTTAAATCGAATATATGAAAGTGCTTGGTCAATGCCCCATCTTAAATATACATACGTCTACGCAATATCCATTAATGTTGATTTGGCGGTGTCTTTCATCTATAGCGGTATCACTTGCTATACTTTCCTGGAAATTATACTTGACTATATTTGGGGTGAGATAATCTTCATATCCCGTCTAATCCGTTAACCAGATTACCACGCCTTCTAGCGGATTAATAACAGCGCTACACCTTTATATAATAGCTGTCTTAATTCGACTAATTCGGAAACATTTATTGAAGGATAAAATACATTAAGAGTTTATGTTTTACAATAGAACCATACTTTAACGATGATATAAATTACATATCTGGCGATCGCCCCCTTTGAAGATTAGCAGGCTCACAGCTGAAGATGTTTTCCCGATTAAACATAATTTTAATGTAAACAACTTACATTTCCAAAAGGAATAAATAGGATTTTTTATGAAAATAAATGCATTATAAGAAATATGACAATGAAGGATTATAAAGAAAAACCGGATTTCATTTTAATTGGTCAATAAATAGTTTCACATGATAAGCTCTCTGAACATTATCTGAAACAAACAATGAAAACAATATTTGATAATTATTTTATTAAATGTATTAAAACGTTGTATAGTTATGCAACAAATTTTAGAAACGAATGTTGTTGGTGATATAGTCACTAAGGATTGAAAAACCCAGTTCGGTTTATATATAGTAGTGTAAATATCACATTATTTTTTTTTCTGTTTGAATAAATTTGCAAGCTTAAAAGTTTTTGATTGTCAAAGTATTTATTTTATTTCAACGTTCAACGCCAGTTATTCATTCCATGATAAAATAAAGCTGTAAAAATAACGACAGGCGAAAGGTTGAAATTTGAGTCTTACATGTACATATTCAATGTCGCCAATTTTATTACTATTCAAGAAGCTATATTAATTCAATTGGAATATCATTAATGCATGTACACAGTCATACTTCATTTTTTTCGTGTATGAAGACAGGAAGAAATACATTTCACCAAACGTAAGCGAATTGCTCAAAAGTTTAAAATCCATTTATCAAAGATTTCATTCACATATTGTTCAAAGACGTTTTGTTCGATTATGATATAACAGACATGAGACTCGAAGGCAAACGATGGATTGTTGGTACAGCTAAACGGACGTACACGGCAGCGCATTAGGATAATCCGAGAATCAGTCAACGCTTACTCTGTAATCCTCTAGATTATAGCCTGATTAGGTAATAATTAGAAAAACAACCACGGTGAATTCCGGATAGTTTACTCAGCCTTGGAACGATTAATCTCCCCCAACAAAAACTAAACCATTTAAAATTGAATAACTTTAAATTAGCAGACACATTAAATAAAGAAAATATTTTTCTGACTTTTTAAGCGGCGAAGTAGATATTCGTATGGCTCAAATCGTCTGGAAATATTTGATTCGTTTCTGATTTCTTTGCGAATTAGAACGACCTTTTCGCGTGTACACAGTGCTGCTTAGCGTTAAAAATTAAGGAAGCCATGTAAGAGAATGATTTAAGATGCTGCCATGATTGGAAATGTAAAACCGACAGGTACAACGATCACACACACGCTTGTTTTTATTTACCTCCTTCTCTGACACGAATGTAAGGCTATTTGGTTTGGTTAAACTATACTCTCCCTGTAAGAATTTCATGCAGATATCAATTATTTCCATACAAAAAAAATATTGAAATAATTGTCCGATATTAAAACACCTTAAGGAAAGTTCTCTTTAAATATTTTATTTAAAATAAAATTCGATGGCGTTAACATCCGTAAAAAGCCCACTATTTTTCTTGTTGGGTAGACGGCCGCTTTCGGTCGTCTGAAACTTGACCTGCCTTCGACAATATCCCTCCATCTTTACACAACGACATACACGATGTCAGGGTGTAGAACATCTAAAGAGAGATCGGGTTTCAACGCGATACAATTTCCACCTAACACTGTGTCGCTGTTCCAAACAATGGCGGAACACGAGCATATTATGTCCCGATTTGTAAGAGTGAGTTTATCAGGAGAGCACTGTTACCGCAACAATGCCCATCACACCGCCGGAATATCATTTTACAAACGTTTAACGGAACAAATATGTGTATAATAGAATGCAAGTTTAAGGAGAAAATATGTATAAAAACTGTTATTATTAATCTAGCATTTTTTTTTGTGTATCATAATCATCGAATTTCTGTAGCACGTGGAAGATCAAAGCTCAATTCAGGTGCGTGCATTACTTCAAAAGATAATAAAGAGAGGTGTTTGTTGTATCTAGATTCGATGTTTTCATGTTTAAGCGTGGGCGAATTTGAATTGCAGCAGTGTAGCACACCCACAACTTCAAGCAAGCCCAATCTACAAAGATGTTTACGCCCCGTCACGGTGTTTCTCAACTTTTATTATTTAAACATAAAGTATACATAGTGAACTGTATAAAAATTCACTCCCCCGTGCTGATTTTCGCACAGCTATGTACTATGCTTGCGGTTATATATAACCACATGCATCTTTTTTTTTTATACTTTACAATGAACAATTTGTCAAATCACCAAGTTTCATTGTTTTAACAACCTGGTAAATGGTCAAATAGAGTTGCTCCCCCTTACATGGAAAAAAATAATAGCCCCAGGCGATGTTAACGAATATTATGACCATTGTTTTTGCCTAAAAGTCTGTTTTCCGGAATATTTTATTCGAGTAAATTATTGAAACCAACACTGGCCAAGATACTGAGAACTACGTGTAACGGTACAGTGACCATGTATATATTTAGCTATACTTTGTACCTGTATCCCTGATATACCGATAGACATCAAAGACTACCTACTATACCTACTAATTTGTAGTTTCCGCACATTAAAATGAATATTAAATGAAAATAAACCATAGTATCGCCTGACATAAATTACTTGTATAAAGTAAAGTATATAACCATATTTAAACTCATAAAAGAGTAATCATGGCTGATATAGATAGTGCCGAACTGTTCGTAAGTGTACTAACACCTGCGCGAGATGTATATAGCGTAACCTTCCGATTAAAGTAGAATTGACAAGAGAAAGAGTATGCAAGGGACATAATATGCATAACGGTCACACATAAAGTGCCCCTCTCCAGGCTACAGGAGGACAACAGCCCCCGTACCCCATCTCCCATCCGTATTGCGGGGGGGGGGGGGGGGGGGGGGNGGTTTGAACGTATTTTATCTCCTATTTAGAGAAATAAAGCCTTGGACATAAGTTACAAGACATTTTGTACGCCATTGTCTCTGTATTCGCTATGTATGACTGGTCGAATCCCATGCCTTACACTGTTGGACATTTGGCGAAATTATGACGTTTCAGTTAGAAAGTACTATAAACGAGTATATCTAATGTAATCTCTATAGTCTTCGTAACGTCGTATCTATTTACATATGAGGCCGTTTGAACTACGAACTGTTGTGTTTACACCATGGAACTAGGAGACCGTAAAATATCACATCATAGATTTCAGTTCTTAACGAAACAGTCATACGGGAGATACACTCCTTAAACGTGTTAATGACCATGACAACTCACACTCTTTATAGCGTAACAGTTCACGTTACAGGTGAGTTGTACGGAGACAATTCGAGTTAAACAATACCATACAGAAATATGTATACGGGTGTAAATGCATCCCAAAAATACAAAAACTACATTATGAGAGATTTTAAAGTTGCTAAGCATATTTTCTGTTAAAATCAGCGATGTGTTCACCGTCAGACGTGCGTGGCCGCAGATGCCTAACGACGCACCTGCTCCTCCAGTCTGATGCTATCTAATACGTGTAAAATATACCAGTCCATAGAGAATTTCTATTAAAATATCTTAAATAGATTTTTGGATTTTAAAAATAACACATTATAAAATAAATCATCTCGCTTCGAAAATGCAGTTTTGTTATAAGCAAAACCTTACAGGACGGGAAGTAGATATAATAAATTATTTATGTCTCCAATTCTATGCAGTATTTATGTATGAGTGTTTAAAACCTTGTAATGGGACGTAAAGGCAGTCAAATCACCTTAATACCTACTAAGCATGCACTTTACTTACCCGTACATTTTTAATGCACCAACATGTGACAAAATTCAAATTGGCGGTTAGATCATTTTTAAACAATGGAACCTATATTTGTTATGAAAAAGGATAGGCTCAAAGTCCGATAACTCACCCTGTTGACATCGACTACTCCATTTTGCATTTAAGGAAACACATGAAATCGCCTCTCGTCGTTTAAAGTTGAGAATATTCGGTAATCAGTTTGCATGCGTGTTACATGGGGAGGTATAAACTGTTGGCCTGAATCATCCCTTGTAACAACATACGGTTGATACGGGGCACTATAAATGAGCAATATTGTAAAATAGTGTCTGCTTTTTTTTTCGAATACCTGTACAATCTGTTTGGTGTTTGAACCATGTATTTCTTAATCTGCATTAAAATCATGATTGAAGTTTTATTGAACGATTGTTTTGTCTGTATTCGCAGCTGCTACATACAATCCTTTCCCCGGTCTGATGAACCCAGCTGATCTCGCACGTGCTGGCCAAAAACGGAAACGACGTCACAGGACAATTTTCACAGAGGAACAGTTAGAAGACTTGGAAGCTACGTTCAACAAAACGCATTACCCCGATGTACTACTGAGGGAAGAACTCGCAATGAAAATAGACCTGAAGGAGGAAAGAGTTGAGGTAAATATTGAAAAAAAATACCACACTACTTCCGGTTATGCGCTCTTCCGAAGTAACAGTAACCACCTGGTTACTAAACCCACATGAAAGATTGCATATGATTTGCATACATTATTTAATATATGATTAAATCTAACACTTTCACTGGTATTTTATTGCGGCGCTGAAATGTCAGCGTGGTACCATGATTCATATAAATTTACAGACTCTTTTGATAATGACTGATAGGCCACCGTACATACGGGGCCTGGCGATGGTACCCGACTCGTGAAAACATTCACTTTCCCTGTCCGGGACATTCAGCTACCCTCGGACATCCTCGAAACTCTGATAACATTGTTCGTGCTATTTCAAGCAAGACGGATTTATTCAAATTCAATGTTCCAAGTCGTGCTTCGGCTCAATCCATCTTGCCCTATCGCCGAGCTAGACACTTTTCAATTTAACCAAAATCACCATAATGACAACAATATATAAATCCAAAATGGCGCACACAGTAGCCACATCAGAGGCCAAATGCATCGAGATCAAAAGAACGAGGCAACGAGAACCACATCAGATAATAGGAGTAAATCAAGAATTGAATAGCTGGCTGTGATATCTAGTGTTATCGCGATGTTATTTCTGTCAACATGTTATCAGCAATTTAGGACCCCATTGAGGGGCTATAATCTATGTATTATCTTCAAAAGAACTTTCCCGTTTTATTACGGAGAAATTAGATTTATCAAGGTCTTGTGAGCGTTAATATATTTTCTGATTTACTGGTTTTCTGAAGCCTTCCACCCTACAACAACATTTATGAGACATGTAACCGTCGTTTGAAATCTAAAACCGGCCTTTGTCGTGTACTCGCTATACTGCTGACAAATAATAATTTTTGCGCTATGAATAACATCAAAATTGCGATAAACGACCGTACAGGGTCATAAGCATGGAATTTCAATCGTGTGGTAAGGCGTAGAATGGATGAGCACTACTTCTTCTAAAACACTAGTGGCTTATAAGCTGATGGCATCTCCTTCTGGATTGGCCCAGTAGCAGACTCCCGACGATGGCGGCATCGCAATCACTAACATCAAACGGCCAATTGAAATCCTATAAAGATTTACAAATAAACACTAAGGACTTATTGGTTTTATTGCAGGAAATCCAGATTTTCCTCAACTAAAGAATAATAAGTCATAAAATTGACTTCCAACGATTTATCTTTTTATGTTGGAAATACTTCCAATAGCAATCGCCATCGCTGTTTCAGTATAAGGTCTTTACAGACAGGCGATAAAACGGGTAATATCGAACACCAGGAGATAATGTTTTCTAGATGACATGACGTTGATATCATACAACACATTTGAGTACGAAATCGATTCGTGGCCCGCCCGAGTTGGTGACGCCGCGATATGATTAGAAGGGGCGTGTGACGTTACATGCAAGTGACGGTAAATGTTGGATTCAGTTCTGTTGATGTTGATGGGATGACACCTAGTGAAATCAACATCGAAATTAAGGAAACGGACATGGCAATATCCACACTCTGGGACATGTAGACGCAAAGAATAGTTAGCTTTATCAAAACAGTGACGCATAGCAATATGTTAACGGCAAATACTAGACGGGCGATTTTAAATGGACAATTTTTACACGGACATATACACGAAACATTTAACATGAACATTTATCATTTAGTCTTAGTTGGAATCATTTAGAAATGATTAAGCATCTCTTTGTCAAACAAGTGATATGAAAACCATCCGGACGGAGTGTTAGCTTCAATTTCGTCAATAAGCGGCAAGATACAAATCAGGAGAAGCACGTATACAAACGCTCGCGCAAGTCGCGTGCTACTGTTGATGGTCGCTGGCGCATTGACACAACTTAAAGATGATTTGGGATAGTGGAGCTACATGAAAAATCTGCATAATATAGTAGATTTAGATTAACGAATCCAAACAAGCCACAAATATCTATAAAATGTTTGGAATTAATTGAGACCAGGCACGCTAACAACGGCGTTATTATAACAAAATGGCGGTTTATCCTTCAGGGCATAGAGGCGTGCACGCCAGCCCGAAAATAATCTGTTTTCTGCCCAGACGGTGTGTAATGATGGAGTCATAAAACTCGGTGATTACAAGATAGCCTATCGCAAAGAGCTGCAATATCATATAAGGTCCTGTATTTAACTGATTTAAGACGGGTTCGCTATCAGATGACACCACTTATCCGTTAAATAACAACAACATACATGTATTATCATATCCGAATCATGCATATCTTTCTCTGTCCACTAGAACTCAAATTGACATTTAGTAGAAACGACTTATGCATCATTCGTGTAAAGATAAAAACAACTGATTGAATTTGGTATGAAATAGTATTCATAGACACATGATAAGGTAAGCTCAAGTATTCAAAATATTATACTTTCGTATTTTATAGGTTTGGTTCAAGAACAGACGTGCAAAATGGAGGAAGGTCAAACGGGAGGAAGAAGCGGCCAGAAGACTCTCCGAGGCTGCGCAAAAAGGTGATCTGGATCCTAAATCAGACAAAAGTGAAAACGAGACTGAATCTACTTGTGATAGAGAAATCAACAAGAGTGCTGACTCCGACAGTGACTGTTTCTCTCACCGAAGTACAGACTCACCAAAAATAGACATTGAAAACGAAGTAGTCGATTCTGAAGACGAAGAAACAAACAACACATCCGAACACCGTCTTTCCTCAAGTCCAGCACCTTGTTCTAGTCATTCATCGACGTCATGAAGTCTTCACGTTCACTTAAATACCAGACTTGCATTTGACTTTAAATGTTCAAAACATCGTAGTGCTTTATGTGTACTGCGTCACAAAATTGGTAACCAAGGATATACATGCGCCTCATTGGGCACAAACACTTGAGCTTTGATGTTTGGCTCTGAATCCTGATGGTGCAAGAGTTTATCTGTGATACAAACATTCATCTATCCAAGACGTGTTATCTGGTCAGTGGCCCTAATTCAAGCATTACGAGGACAAAGATGACAACATAAACACTGAGTTTTGTCTTTTGTCAATTTTGAGCATTAAACATTAATCATATTCTTTTTTTATTGGTGAATTCCAGTGAGGCTGTGCAATTTATGAAAGTGTGTATGCTGTGTTTTGTGTGTGTTCATAATATTTGTGGTAAAACCTTATCTGTGTTTGTCAATTAAGACAAATTTGATTGGTCAGTTGTCGGCAATGAATCTCAAAGTCATCACATGACTTATGTAATACTCAAATGTGGTTTGATATGATAGAGAGAGAGTGTGTGTTAAAGAATTGAATTATGGCATAAAACTTCTGTAAATGAGTCCTAGGGTTTTGTATTCAATGAATTTTTTAATCGTCACAAGACTTTATTATGTTAAGTATGAAAAGCCTGTTGGTCCTTTTCCCTTTCTTATAATACACTTATTACTTTATGAAATTTTATTTAAATACTTGAGAACTGTAATATATGTGGCGTTCGGTGAGACGCTGTTGGTTAAATGGTTTACACAAGAATGAAACCTGTGAACTAGTGCATGTCTAAATGTTGTATATTGCGTGTGTACATAATGGTATTTATATACTTTCTGTATGTCAGAAAAAAATAACAATAAAGTGGTCTAATAAAAAATTAAAATCAAAAATAGCACATTTTGTCGTTTTTTATTGCCGATGGATTATTAAGTTAGCTGAAGATCTAAGAAAAATGCTTACAGTTTCAACATGAATAGTTTTGCAAAATTTTGTAAATTATTTAATATTTATCCAAAGAAAAATTCGACTGGAAATACGTTTTTTTTTTAAACACATAAACAGATGAAAATATGATTTTTCTCTATTTTCGTAATCGAACGTGACTTACTGTTAATCGGAAGCAGTAACATTTCTAGCCTATTTCGTTTATCTTTATCAAAAAATATTTTCATTCTTTTGTGCATTTGGGTTTCAAGAAAACTTGTGGATATCATATTATTATGTATTTCATTTTTATAGTTTTCGGAACTCTAAAAATATCCAGAGCTAAAAATTTATATAATATTTGCAAATATAATTGTGTTGAACAGAAACTCAACTTTCTCATTAAACGAACAATTATTTAACTGACACTGACTGTTACGTGACTTGTGTGAGTTTGACCTGAGATAAGTAGAACAAGGACTTGAAGAGACTGGATGAAACGCTTACCCTTCCGGTATACCTGAGTTTGCCTCAGATGTTTGGTATCATAAGTAAGTTCCTTTTTTTTCTTGTCTTTATATTTTCCATGCCTTTTGTAAGTCGCGTTCTGATTTTATCATTGTGCAATTTACTGTGATATCATGATTATTTTTCTAATTTTATCTAGAATCAATTATTTATGAGAATAGGCGAATAGCGGTCATTAAAAATTCATTTGTCTTTTTATATTAAAAAATATATTTCATTTAGTAAATATCTAAACATGATTACTCTAGATTGCAAACTATCGAAATTCTAGGAAATAGACACGAATTCTGTCGGTATTCCTGTTATCTAAAAGAGTGATAAACACAGCGCCTTTACTTGTATTCAAAGGTGAAAATCCCCAATATAGCAAGGTCATGCATTCTATCATGGCAACACCCTGTCGTCAACCGCACTGTCTTAATATCCACCCACCTCCATGGTATCTAATGAGCAGACATCAACCATAGTTACTTTTTTTGTCTAGAATGTATATAGTCTGTTTGGTTCAATAAAGACATTTACAATATATAAATTCAATTCGCCAACCAAATTGTCTAAACCCAAAAATGTCTACCATGGTGTCTAAAGGATAAGACATCTACCACCAATCTTAATTCAAGTCGCTGACCAGATTGTCTAAACCAAAGAAATGCCGATCAAGATGTTTAAATGATAGGGCATCTACCACAACATTAACAGGTCAACATGCCAAAACAGGTATTTGAAGTTTCAGGAAGCCAACTATAGTATCCAAAGTCCAAGATGCCTAACAATCATGAAATATGATAATGATAAATATGATTAACACATGGCAACGCGTCTGTCCAAATGGTAAATAATTCAATACACTGATAAAATGTCTACTGGTGTCAAAATATCAAAACTCAGTAGATTAATATTACGGTACAACCCATATTCTGAAAAATCATAACGTACCTGCATTGCTGCTTACTTTATTTTTGAATATAAAACATGTTGTTTTTTAACTTTCTAAAATGCCAAGACGCCTGTCCTAGTGTCTAAAGATCAAATCTCCTGTAATCACGAGGAAACGTCAGGACGCCAAACGGACACAAATACTATATAAATGGTCAAGATGCAAGGTATAGTGTAACTATACCTATTGTATAGTACAAAGGTCATGACGCCTGATATAGATTTAGGAAGATCATTACACATGTCTGACGAACAGACAATAACGTTGTATTTAACATATTTAAATATATTAATTACAAATATCAAAATACACTACAGAAAAAAAAAAATCAATTTAAATGCAGTTTCAATGATAAATTGAACAAAATAATGCTTAAATCAACAATATGCGAGGAGTACCACATTTACAGTAAATGACAATGCAAAACCATAAAACAACCCATGGAAATTGAAAAGGTCACTCTGAAACCATTGTTTAATTCACTGTCAGCATCATTGTACATGGATTGTTGCATTTGATACCCATTGAAGTAATTTCTTACAATCGTGAAAACAAATATAACATAAATTAACGAGATGCTAAAACACTTAAGAAGAACACCTTATTAATGCCTGTTTTACCAATTCTGGTAACCCACAACCTTTTCTCGATTTCATGGGGGGAATGTTGACGGGTGTCACTTGTGCTGTTGGAAATAGTTATCCGTCAAGACAGATTCACATTTCTCCTCAGTGTTCTTTTCTCTTCTCTCTCTCTTTTTGTTGTTGTTGCGGGTTGTGGGTGGGGGGGGGGGGGGGGGGGGTAGATGCTTTCTCATCAGTATCATTTTGTTGTGTTTTCGTATCGATTTTCAAATTCAATCTTTCTTGTGTCTTGACGCTGTGAAATATATTTTTTCTATTTCATTTTTAACACCATTATATTTATATCGTGTAGTGAGACGTGTTTAAGCTTTAGAATACCACCAGCAAAATATATATCCAATTTCTATATAACAACAAAGTAAAACTATTTTGATATGCCACCTAGCACACCCATCGTGTTTCTAATGTTCTGTATTCTCCGTTATCATCCCGAGACTAATTTCCCGAGGAACTATTGATAATGACATTAATAAAATGTGTATTCTATAAAGTTCAGTGGTGTCCATGAATAGCTAATTACATTAGTGTTAATATCAGTGATAGGGATCTTGTGTCGCTCCAGATGTTATCTAAAGATAGGCTTTGCAGTCAAATTAAACATGTTTCTATTTGCCATGGGCTTTCTCTGTTAATATCGTTACAAACAAGGTCTTTGTTTAAGAGGTATAAAGGTTATGGAATAATATTACGAATAATTCTGTTTAACGAGAACATTGTGTGCTAGCTTCTATCTATTTCGAATGATTATCAAAATGTTTTAAGAAATACATCCTCTTTATCTCGGTGTTATTTTGTGTTTTGTATTGAGCCGTTACAAATGGTAAAAAAGTGTAAACAGATTTTATCTTTCGTATCCTATAAATACTTTTTCTAATCTTCAATGCATATCTACAAGTTCAGTCTTTGCTGTGATCAAAGACATATTCACTGCGCCAAACACCATTGATTTGACAGAAAATATAGTAGAAATCAGTTGTGTAACTTGGGAACTTTTAAGCCATCCAAATAACATGTTTTCGACAATTGTTTTAGTACTATTATCATGTTTTTGTCATCGTGTCTTTTCGGTTCCCCTTGCTGTTAAAATGTTAACAAAATATATAAATGATATCATTGGCCAGTCTAAACAATCTGTGGTATAGTTTGACTGTCCATTGCTATGTCACCAGTACATCTAATGCGATGTATACAGGTTCGCAGTTCCCTTGTTATATCCTTTTATAGCAATTGATAACATGGTGGTTTTGACATATATATTCCTAAAGCACCTGTTGAATTACTATAGGCAATTTAATACTATTCAGGATCGAAGGAATGTGTATAATTAGTTTGTTTTTTGCAACATTTACACAAAGTTGTGTCTGTATGGTTCTACTGCTTGTTTTACACATGTGACTAAAACTGTTTCTTGTTTTACACATGTAACTGAATCTGTTGCTGGTTTTACACATGTGACTGAATCTGTTTCTTGCTTTACACCCGTGACTGAATCTGTTACTTGTTTTACACATGTAACTGAATCTGTTGCTGGTTTTACTCATGTGACTGAATATGTTGCTTGTTTTACTCATGTGACTGAATCTGTTTCTAGTTTTATACATGTAACTGAATCTGTTGCTGGTTTTACACACGTGACTGAATCTGTTGCTTGTTTTACACATGTAACTGAATCTGTTGCTGGTTTTACACATGTGACTGAATCTGTTGCTGGTTTTACACATGTGACTGAATCTGATGCTGGTTTTACACACGTGACTGAATCTGTTGCTTGTTTTACACATGTAACTGAATCTGTTGCTGGTTTTGCACACATAACTGAATCTGTTACTTGTTTTACACATGTAACTGAATCTGTTGTTTGTTTTACACATGTAACTGAATCTGTTGCTTGTTTTACACATGTAACTGAATCTGTTGCTTGTTTTACACATGTAACTGAATCTGTTGCTGGTTTTATACACGTGACTGAATCTGTTGCTGGTTTTACACATGTGACTGAATCTGTTGCTTGTTTGACACATGTGACTGAATCTGTTGATTGTTTCACACATGTACACGAATACACTGCAGATTTTACATAATTTACATACATCATTCTTTTGCTGGTTCTACACCTGAGGATTACTCTGTTGCTGATTGAAAATGAGGGTATTGATTTACTGCTGGTTTTACATGTGTGTATTGATTTACTGCTGGTTTTACACATGTGTATGACTCTACTGCTGGTTTTACACGTGTGTATGACTCTACTGCTGGTTTTACACGTGTGTATGACTCTACTGCTGGTTTTACACGTGTGTATGACTCTACTGCTGGTTTTACACGTGTGTATGACTCTACTGCTGGTTTTACACGTGTGTATGACTCTACTGCTGGTTTTACACGTGTGTATGACTCTACTGCTGGTTTTACACGTGTGTATGACTCTACTGCTGGTTTTACACGTGTGTATGACTCTACTGCTGGTTTTACACGTGTGTGTGACTCTACTGCTGGTTATACACGTGTGCATGATTTCACTGCTGGTTTTATACATGTGTATGATCGATTGCTGATTTTACACAAGTGCTTGATTCTATATCTAGCTTTACACAAGTGCGTGCATGATTGTACTGTTCCAAGTGAAGCTATCTCACTTTACAGTATGATGAAAGGTATTTTGCTGACTAGCTATATCTCATCATTCCACTATGAAAAATCGCATAGTTTGTCATTGTGATCTTCATAAAAGCATTATACAGCAACCGTTTGTAAAATTGAAATGTACTTTTAGGATATTTCCTGGGGTTTTTTCATACTCCAATGGTTATCAAAAAAACTTCCCTTCCC